GGAAACAACGGATCGAAGGCTCCGCCTTTTCCCGCGCTCCCTCGTTGGTGGGACTCTTCCAGGACCTCAGCCGGGTTCTCGGAACAGATTCTGGAACATTAAGCCCGGCTGACCCCTTCAACTTCCTTCCGCACCGCCGACCTGAGGTTGGGATGGAAGTCACCCCCTTGGAAGAGAAGATCCCCGACTAACGGGAGCGCAGTAGGAGGAGCCATCGGCATGAGCTTCAGAAGCGGGAACCATGGACGATTTGGCCAAAAAAGGAAAGACCGCCGCGGCTGCTCCCTCCTCTGGAAGTCTTCAGGATGAGCGACGTGGAAGGATAGACGCAGACCAGGAGAAGATTCCATGGATGACCCGAGGTGTCCTGACCCTTCAACTGCGGCCGCTGATACCGGGAAGACCAAAGGGAGGCCGGAGCTGACCGGCATCGCCATGGGGTCCACTTCGGGCCAACCCCAAATAGGAAAGACCCGGTGGAGATACTTGTCCTTCACGACTCGTCCAGGCTCGTGTTCTGCTGACCCGGAAGATCTGCAGCAAAGGCAAGCTTCTTGTACCGCCCTGGCCGGACATCTAGGCTTTGGGTTGTCCATCAATAGATGAAGATGGTTCCTCCGCAGTGATGGAGCAAACGCTCAGCACTTCAACCAATCGGGAACGTCCGTCTTCCCCGAGCCCCCCGACCTTTCCTGCTTGCCTCACTAGTATGGTCGCTCGCCGTATGGGCAAAGTGGAGACTGCCGGAGATCGGCAGCCTTGCTAGGGATTGGCTGACGAGCCTCGGAAGGATAATCTTCTGTTTTCCGGGAGATGCCAGGGAGCCCACCACAGGAATGGCCGAGCCCGGGGGCCCCAACACTCTCCTACCATGAGGATTCCTGACCCCAGAGGAGGGATCTTCCTGTGAGGGGGATGAACTCTTCCCCGGGTCGTATGGAAGATCACTCCCAGATATTCCAGCCTCCGCCCCGGATCGTATGGAAGATCACTCCCGAGTATTCCG